CTATTAGGGTTTTAGGGATTAGGGTGTAGGGTTTAAGCCCTTTAAGGATTCTGAGTAGGCTTTGCCATGTTGGGCTTGGGGGTTTAGGTAGAAGCACTCTTGGGATATCCCGTTTCTTACGGTCTTTATACGAAAGATCCCGGCCCCGCGGAGTGCATCACTGCATCACGTCAGGGTGTGGAAGGACAACTTTGTTTGCTTGCTTCGTGTGCTACTTCGGTCTGAGCTGTTGATGTATGGGGTCCGTGAAGTTGGGCAGGCTCGAGACATGAGGAGTAATGGCTTCTATCCTGCTTCAGCCCTAGCCGAATTCTCAGAATTTCAAGCCCAAACCCCAAACCCTAAACCCTAAAAAATAAACGTCACCACCTACCGTCAGGACATGCTGGTGGCGATTATCAACAGTGCGCAGCTGGTCCGCAGATGTGAAGCTCAATCGGCTAACTCTAAACTAGGTTCCCCAATAGTACCCTTTTGCCCTTTTTGGTTTGGGGTCTCCTTATCAAAACCGAGTAGTAGGAAAATGGGTACCCTTATTATTAAGGGGTTACTGGAGAACCTAGTAAACAGGATTTAGTGCCTAGGGTTTAGAGGGTTTAGGGCTTATGGACCCTGAGCCGAACTTTATCAAATCGGTTTGGGGCTTAGGGGTTTAGGATTTAGGGTTTAGGAAATCGGTTTGGTGCTTGGGATTTAATTAGGAGAGACACTTAGGGCGCTAAACCCTAAACCCTAAACCCTAAACCCTAAACCCTAAACCTGGCTTTGCTTGTCTGCGGCTCCTAAGTTCAGCATCCTGATGTTCCGAAGCTGCCACCTCTTCTTCAGCCTTAGCCCCTGAAGCAAAAACGCCGGGATAAAGATACCCTAAACCCTCAACCCTAAACTTAATCGCTTGAGAACTGAGTCCTTAGATCATTCTTTCCGGGATCGTGCGCTCCTGTCTTTGCAGGGCTTGTGGTTGAGGGGTCCCGGTTAGGAGCAGTGTGTTTTTGCGGGTCGTGGGTCTAGGGTTTAGGGTTTACTGTAGGGTTTGGGGTTTAGGGTTTTCGGTTCAGAGGTCAGGGTCCAGTAAACCCTAAATGTAGAAGACTAAACTCTACATCCTGAGCCCCAACTACACTGGGGTCCCAGAAGAGAGGATAAGAGGAAAGGACAACAAATGACAGCGTCTACCACCCACAATGTAGCCTACACTCCCAAACCCTGAAACCCCAAACCCTTCAACCCCAAAAGCGTTAAGCCCTGAAGCCCCGGACCTTAGACCCCAAGCCCTATAAGCCCTAAAACTCTGAGGCTTTCATCAACCCTAAACCCTAGACCCTGAAGGTTGACTTCGGTGGAAGAATCCCGCGAGAAGCTGAAGGCGGCCGCAGACAGGCACCACCCGCCTTCGGTTTAGGGTTGAGGGTTTCACCCTAAACCCTAAACCCTAAACCCTTCAGTTCAGGGCATTTTGTTTTACCAGCCTTCGGTTTAGGGTTTAGGTTTTCAGTTCAGGGCCTTCTGTTGTTTTTTCTGTTTTAGGGCAACCCCTAGATAAGGAGTGGCCTTGGTAATTGTTCCTGCTAGTATATCATGGGTTATGCATACTACTATTTGTGGAACTAGGCCCCAAAAGACCTTCCCGATCATGGTTTTTGCACCCCCCCATTTCATAGTTGTAGCATATGTAGACCTACTTGTGGTCCATACGGTTCAGGGCTTTGGGTTAGCCTGAGAAATTCAGTTTTCTATTTCGAAAATTCAGGCACTTTCGGATTTCGGGTTTAAGGGTTCTTGAGGTAAACCCTAAACCCTAAACCCTAAACCCTAAACCCTAAACCCTATGTGAGCCTTTGGATAAACAACAATTGAGGCAATGACCGCAATTTTTTATGAACTTAAGGCTGGCGGTCTTCCCAGAGACTCCAATATCCCTTAATTAAGGAATATACTGAATATACCTTAAATCATTTTAAGGATCCTACGATATACCTTAAATCATATCAAGGATCCTACTATAATTTAAGGAATATTCCTTAAATAGGGGATATTGGAGTCTCTGGGTTCGCGCCACCCAAAATCCGGATTTAGGGTTTACGGGGGGAGAGGCTTTGGGAGGAGGGCGGGGCTCATAGAACCAGGTACTGCGTTAGATTATAGGGTTTAGGGTTTGGGGGTTTAGGGGTTTAGGGTATTAAACCCTTGATCATGGAAGTTGTAGCACTGCTCCACGTGCTAAACGGCTAAGCCCTTGCAACCCTAAACACTAAGCCCCAAACCCTCTCGAGCACTGCTGGCTAGATTCCGTGCCTTCAGTTCCAAGGCCGTTGTCAGAGCCTTGAGTCGTTTTGGGTATCTCTTCAAGGTTTAGGGTTTAGGGTTTCAAACAATGCAGCATCGCTTTCATGAGTGTACTGCAGGCAGAAGAGCATTCTGCTGGAGCTTCTTCCTGACAAGCCCGAGATCACGGACAGAGTCATCGCCAACATCGACAAGGACCCAGAAGGTGTTTGGGGACCGGGTATAGTCAAACCCCTCGGTGCCGAAGCCTTAGTTGCAACTGACATTGGAAGCATGGTTGAACTTCTTGGGCATTCCTGTCGACCAGGTTGGAACTTTGCCTCGGGCTTGCCTATTGAGTTTCATTGAATCAGAGAATGACTGTGATTCTCGCAGATAGATAGAGCATGATAGAGCAGCAAGTGGCTTGTGGGGTGCTTGGAGCTCGATCCTGTATGCCTTAAGCTTGAACTCTGCATATCCGGACCTGCACAACATTGGCGAATATTTAAGTTTCGAGTCATGTAAATGTTCATATGCTGTTCAGGGCTTAGGGGCGATTGTCGAAATCATACAGGCATTAGGAGCATGGCTCTATCCGAGCATTGGGTGTATTAGGTGGCACTTTGTGATACTGTTTAGGTTTCTTTTGATGCTCCTATAGCTTAGATCATCCCACATCCCCAACCACTAACCACTAGAGCGTAAAGCCAGCCGCAAACCCCTAAGACAGGGACACCGCCTCTTCCCTAAACCCTAAACCCTATAAAGCCCTAAAGCCTGAACCCTAAAGCCCTAAACCCCAAAGCCCTAAAGCCCTGAAGCGCTAAACCCTAAAGCCCTAAAGCCCTGAACCCTAAAGCCCTAAACCCCTAAACCTCGAAGCCCTAAACCCTAAGACCCTAAAGCCCTAAAGCCCTGAACCCCTAGAGCCTGTCACCTCCAAGCCCTAAAGCCTAAAGCCCTAAACCCTGAAACCCCAAAGCCCTAAACTTGGTACAGTTCTCGATTTGTAGCCCTAAAACCCTACAAAGCTAAAGCCCTAAACCAGGACCAAGATGCCGTGGAAGCCATGGCCCTGGCAGCCTCCCAGATGAGAGGAGCCCGCCGCCGAGAAACATGGGTGGGGTTTAGGGTTCAGGGTTTTAAAGGTTTAGGGTTTTAGGGCTTTTAGGATGTTTAGGGTTTTTAGGGCGTTTAGGATGGTTAGGTTTTTAGGGTTGTTAGGGTTTAGGGTTTTCGGTTTTTAGTTTTTAGGGTTTTGGGGCTTTTAGGGTTAGGGTTTAAGGTTTTTAGGGCTTTACGGGTTTAGGGTACAGGGTTTAGGGTTCAGGGTTTCGGGTTTAGGGCTTTTAGGGTTTAGGGTTTTCAGGCTTTTTGGAGTTTAGGCTACAGGGTTTTTGGGGTTTGGGGATCGAACATGTATGTTTTCGAGGTGGTGTCTGCGAGTTTTCTTGAGCAAGATATGGAAGTGCAGTCATGAGAGCTGAACTTCCGTAGGCTCAGACATTCAGGCGATTGCACGAGCCCTGATGCGAAAAGGATGGGTTGAGGGTTTAGGGTCTTGTCAGCGCATGACCACTTAGACCCAAGCGTCTGAGGGTTTCGGGTCTCGGCTGGCATAACGAGGCGGTGGGATTTACGAGGTCGCTTGTCGGGTTTAAGGTTTAGGGCTTGCACTTCAGTTAACCAGAAAGTCTCAAGTTTGAATTGTGCCTGCCAATCTTTTGGTCGAGGTTGCGGGTGTGTTCTCATCTAACATGCCGCAACACCGTGTGGTTCTGGCTCAAGCCTCCTTGCAAGGCATACAACCCCCATCGGGATTGACAAATCTTGTGATCCATCCATGTATTCGCTCACAACAGCTGCGGCATCGAAGGCGCAAGAGGGCTGAAAGAGGCAGAGAGAGACGGAGAGACAGAGACCGAGAAGAGAGCGAGGCTTAGTGAGACGTTCCCCGGACAAGGATGGCAGTCGCCTCGGCTACCTACTGCTACTACTGCCACGGCTGCCTTTAATTCGGTAACAGGGATTAGTCGATATATCATTATGCTATGTGCCATCCTCCCTTCCCTTGATGTCCGCAGTACCTGAGTCTCGTTGACCAGGATGCGATGGACTCTGGGCGTGGAGACTACCTGGCTCCAACCTTGGCCAGCCTTCGCGCCCATGAGGTGCATCATTCATCTCCGAAGCCCCTTCACGACCAGGACTGTGAGGGCCGCTCCGGTTCGGGGCTGCAAGCTGCTGCCAGAATAATGGGGCATGGGGGGCCGAAATGCCACTACACCCCATAGCTCTAACCCCTAACCTTTGCAAGCAACTTCATAAGCCCCTTAACCGCAGATCCGTAGCCCACTTTGCACGAGTTTCCTGGAGTTGAGAGGACCGTTTGGAGTCGTCTTCGACTGACATGCCGGAAGCTGGGTCTGCCTTAGGGTTTAGGGTTTAGGGTTTCTGCCCTTAGGACTCCTTTTCTCTTGGTGGTTTGGGTTTCTTGATATCGTAAAACCCGAAACCCTGAACCGGATCCGTTATTGCTTTCCTTCCGGCAAGGGGCAACCCTAAACTCGCCATACACCACCATAAATACCTTAAAGGAGCCCTTAGACCAGGCCCGTTCAAGAAACCACCATAAATGCCTTAAAGGAGCCCTTTGAAGAGGCCCTTTTCAGAAACCACCATAAATGCCTTAAAGGAGCCCTTAGAAGAGGCCCTCTTAACGAAACAGCAAGGAAGAGTCGGCGACCTTTCCGGTGGAGCAGATGCCAGAAGCCTTGGAGCCTCCGACCTTCGCGCTGTGGCCTGGATCGGTTTAAACATTCGGGAATTTAAGAAAAAGGCCCTGAGGCTGCAACAGTGCAGCTCCCTCTGGCTGACTTAAAAAGATGGGTCGACATGCATATAAGGTTTGTGTGTGTGTGCCTATGTCGCCATGGCGCACACATGCATATATATATATATGTATTCATAAACATGTCTGTGCACGTATATACATACTAGGTAGACGTACTGTAGTTGTTAATTCCGTCATTGTTTCCTGGTGTGTCTGTTTGTCTGTTTGTGTGTATGCGTGTGTCTGTGCGTGTGTTTATAGGCTTGCTTGCTTGCTTGCTTGCTGGCTGGCTTGATTGCTTGCTGGCTGATTGCTTGCTGGCTTGATTGCTGGCGTGTGTACGCATGTATGTATGTATGTATGTATGTATGTATGTATGTATGTATGCAAGTATGTATGTCAGTATGTATGTCAGTATGTATACATTCATGTATGTATGTATGTATGTATGTATGTATGTATGTATGTGCGTAGGTATGTATGTATGTATGTATGTATGTATGTGTGAACGAATGAATGAATGAATGTATGTATGTATGTATGTATGTATGTATGTATGTACGCATGTATGTGTGCAGGTATGCATGTATGTATGTATGCATGTAGGAATGCATATGCATATGAATACGTATATGTATATGTATACGTACATGTACACGCACATGTATACATCTAGGTGTACGTACATGTACACGCGCATGTATATGTCTATGTGTATGTGCATGTGCATGTATATGTCTATGTGTACTTGTGCGTGTGTACAAGTACATGTATATGTATATATATGCGTATAATGTGCATATAAGATGTTATGTCACTACACAACATAATAATGACCTAACATAAGAAAACATAACATAACATAGAGATAATACAAGATAAGAAAATACGTTATAACATAAAAAACAAGATATTGTTGCATCATAATGCAATACTATGTATGTATGTATGTATGTCAGTATGTATGTCAGTATGTACGCATTTATGTATGTATGTATGTATGTATGTATGTATGTATGTATGTATGCGTGCATGTATGTATGTATGTATGTATGTATGTATGTCAGTATGTATGTCAGTATGTATGCATTTATGTATGTATGTATGTATGTATGTATGTATGTATGTATGCGTGCATGTATGTATGTATGTATGTATGTATGCGTGCATGGATGTATGTAATGTAATGTAATGTAATGTAATGTAATGTAATGTAATGTAATGTCATGTCATGTCATGTCATGTCATGTCATGTAATGTGATGTAATGCAATGCAATGTAATGTAATGTAATGTAATGTAATGTAACGTAATGTAATGTAATGTAATGTAATGTAATGTAATGTAATGTATGTATGTCTGTATGCATGCATGTATGTATGTCTGTATGTATGTATTTATGTATGTATATATGTATGTATGTTTGTATGTATTTATGTAATGTATGTATGTATGTATGTATGTATGTATGTATGTATGTATGTATGTATATATGTATGTATGTATGTATGTATGTATGTCAGTATGTACGCATTCATGTATGTATGTATGTATGTATGTATGTATGTATGTATGTATGTATGTGCGTGTGACGATATGTGTACACGATGCATATGCTCATCTAGATACATGTACACATTTCATTGCGTTCGTGTGTTTGCATAAACTGTATGCTCATGATGCTGCACGTGCACCTTGACAAGATTGTGTTGTGAGGTGGGAATCCGAGCAAGTCAGCCTGCCTGCTTCGAAGGAAGAAGCAAAGGCTTCAACAAAGCCGTCATCGCAGCGTGAAGTTGTGACCTCCGTTGATGAATGGTTCAATTTGGGGGAGATCTTCGGTTGCTTTATGCCGAGAGACAAGTGCTGATAGTGCTGATGCTAAGCAACGCTGCTAAGCAGCAGTCGATTTAGTGGAGCACTACGTACACGGGCGCCCCAACTGGCGTCACTTTGTGCGGACGGTGCTCATTCCTCGGCACCTCAAACTTACGCTGCTACATGTTGTGGCCTTTTGCTTATAAAGAGACTTTTCTGGTTGAAACACAGTGCTTGTACTTCATATCGGACGTGCACTTCAGTACCGGCTTACCATACTAGATCTAAAGCAATGAAGTACTAGATAACGGGCACGGTGGAGATCCAGAATCTATAAAGCTGCTGCCACTACATAGAGGATCATGGGACTTAGTAGGGGCTATACATAGAGTCATTAGCAGGATAAACGCAGTTAGCGTACTCAAGTCTCGCCTGATTATGCTTACTAAGTCCGCTGATCCTTCAAGTACTTTACGGCCTTACGGCGTCCAAGTGCCCAGGGACCTTTATTTGGTTTCTAGTCTTCATCTGCTAGCCAGCAGCTGTCGTTGCAGGAACATTTGTTTGCTTCTGCCTTATGGTTGCTTGAATACTGGGGCCCGTGGGTTACATTTTCTGATTGCTTGAATACCTGGGCTCGTGGGTTACGACAAAAACTGGCAAGTCAATGGAAAAAGGCATGATTCCTTGCACCGGGGGTGTCGTGCCCGTATAGGCAAAAGGTTCATCTGTTCCAGCCTAGGACCTTTCGCATGCCTTCATGGCAGCTGGGCTTCGTACGTTACATCGGTGCTGGGGAGCGGCTTGGGGTTTCAGGCTGGGGGTGTGGTTAGGGTTTAGGGTTCAGCGCCTAAGTTCAGGGATTACTTGTAGTTTCAGGTTGGGGGGGCGTGGTTATAGGGAGTGGGGTTAAGTCGGACTTCCGGGCATATGCCCTCAGTCTTGAAAAGGGGGGGGGGGGGATTTGGGGTTTTCGGAATCACGGGCCCTTATAGGACCCCTCAAACGAACCTTACAGGCCCTCTATGTCATGAGCTTCGCACCCTGGGCTCGACCCACTAAACCCCAAACCCTAAACCCTAAACCCCAAACCTTAAACTCTAAACCACAAACCCTAAACCCTAAACCCCCAAACCCTAAACCCCTAAACACTAAACCCCAAATCCCCAAACCCTAAACCCTAAACCCCCAAACCCTAAACCCTAAACCCTAAACCCCACACCCTAAACCCTAAACCCCCAAATCTTCAACCCCCGTTGCTCTTCCAGGTGGCAACACCGATGCGGTTCCTAAGCCGGCCTTTGGCCCAGACCTGCAGAGCTACTGAAACACTCTAAGGCTTTCGTTTAGGGTTTAGGTTTTAGGGTTTAGGTTCTAGGGTTTAGGGTTTAGGTTTTAGGGTAGGGTTTAGGGTTTAGGGTTCTATGGTGTCTGGTCGGGGTCTAGGGTTTCTTAGACCGGTTCTGTGGGTCTTTATCGGACTTTGTGTGTGTTTTGTTGGAACTGTCGTGCTTTGCTACGGGCATTGCACATGAATCACAGCGGCGCCGCACTTGCAGGGATCTGCTGTGGTAGTTTGGGTTTGCAACTCCAGCTGTGATGAAATCACGCGTAACAAAGAGGTCGGAATAGTTTGCAGCAACATCCCCTTATTGTCCCGATGTGCCATGCTGAAATATACCCCAAATCTTGCTCTAATCAATAAAGCTCCTACCTGATTCTCGCATGCAACATCGGTCCTTCCCTGAGGAGATTGAGGCCGAGGCCCATACAAGACCGAAGATTTCGTGTTTAGGTTAGGATTTCGGGTTTAGGGGTATTGGGTTTAGGGTTTTAGGGTTTAGGGTTTAGGATTAAGAGTTGATGTCCCGAAAGGGCAATACCCCATGCTCCAGAGCCCTGGAACAAGTCTCTTATCAGGTTTGGCCCCCAAACCCTAACTCACAAACCCCTAACCAAAAAGCACATCCTAACCCTAAGCCCTACAACCCAAAACGGCTCTTATCATTTTGCTCCCTAAGCCCTAACCTCCAAATCCCTAAACAAAAAGTCATACCTTAACCCTAACCCTCCAGGTACCTACTATAGAGGGTACTAGAGCCGCTAGGGCCCTATATAGGTACCTGGAGGGTTTGGGTAAGCCTTACGCCCAAACAACCCTGAACCCTCAACCTTAAACCCTAAACCCGAAAACCTGAAACCATGAACCCTGAACCCTAAACCCTAAACCCTAAACCCTAACTCTTATCCTGGCTTTCCGTGCCTGCTGCGTACCGAGGCTCCTTTCGAACTGGCTCGGATCCGTAGCAACTTCGGAGGCATCGTTTTGGGGATCAGAGTTTTGGGGTTTTGGAGTTTTGGGGTTTTGGGGTTTTGGGTTTTGGGTTTGGGGTTTGGGGTTTAGGGTTTAGGGTTTGGGTTTTGGGTTTAGGGTTTGGGGTTTTGGAGTTTTGGGGTTTTGGGGTTTTGGGGTTTAGGGTGTGGGGTGTTGGGGTTGTGGGGTGTAGGGTTTAGGGGTCAGGGTGTTGGGCTTGAGGTCCATGGCTTCAGAGGCTTTATCGGTTTCGGGCTTCTGTTAGGGTTTAGGGTTTACGGTGCAGAGGCTGTAGAGGTTAAGGGCTTAGGGCTCTAGGGTGCTGGGGTTAGGCAAGTTTTGAGTTTAGGAGCTGGATGTTGATGGTTTAGGGCGTGTGGTTCCTTTTTGTTCTTCTGTCTGAGTTCTTAAAGTATTGGGGGATGTAGTAACTATGTATAACACCACTGTCACTTGCTAAGTTTGTTTCTTTCTTCTAGCGGTGGAGGATGCCAGGCCGTATGTAACAATCCTGGTGCGATAGTGCCATACGGAACAGTAGTGAGAAGAACGATAGCTAAACAACTACACACCTATCGACTCTAGAGTTGGGTTACCTGATTCTGCACGCCCGAGGTGACTATTTGGGCACCCGAAGGTTGGAATTATTAACAGGGTGAAGTGCTGGATGTACTGGGTGAAGAGGTGTTTTGCTTGGTGCCGTGGTCCTTTCTAAGAGGGTCCAAGTTCAATGACATGGGATATGTCAGCTGCATGTAGACTTGCATGCAGGGTCAACTAACACCCTGCCAAGCGACTCGCTCAGCTTTGCAGGAGGCAAAACATATTTCGGTTACCATTTCCCCCAAGATTCTTTGTAATCTGAGTTCGGCTTCCTGGATTGACCGAGCTTTGGGAATATGGGGTTGGGGTATTGTTTTTGTCGGTGCTTAACCCCAAAAGCCCTAATACTCCAAAGCCCAAAGCCCTGATATCCGAAACCCTAGGCCCTAGGGCCCGTGATTCACTAAGCCTTCAACTTTAAAAGCATCGGGCTATTTTGTAGTAGTATCAGTATCCCTTTAGATCATAGGTTTCCTACAAGTATACTATAGTAAATGGACCCCCTAACCAAGCCGTATTCTAATCATCAAGGCCCATATGTTCGACTTCTGAAGTGGTACACGGCCTAAACCCTAAACCCTAAACCCTAACCCTCCAGGTACCTACTATAGAGGGTACCAGAGCCCCTAGGGCCCTACATAGTAGGTCTCAGGAGGGTTTGGGTAAATGAAGTGGTGCACGGCTCCACCACACAGCCCCGCAAGGACGCGCAAAGGCGGATCTGGCCGGTCTGCGCAAAGTGACGCAGGGGCCCTGTTGTTCTTGTGCAGGATGGAGGGGTTTAGGGTTTAAGGTTTAAAGGTTTGAGACTTACGAGCTTAAGGTTTTGAGGCTTTCCGGTTTAGGGTTTAAAGTCCAGGTTCCTGCGAAGTGGAAAGCCTGTTAGAAAGGGTCCAGGTTCGTTCGCTGCGAATGCCTCCGTCGGCCGCTGTGCCGATTTATGCTTTAGGTCTTTAATTTAGGTGCTTGACCCAGTCCAACTGAAACATCGCCAGTTCAGCCTGTAGCCACAGAGCAACCTTTGACACGTAGGTGTGCAAGCGGTGCTTATCATGTTCCACTCATGCAGTGGAGGAAGCAAAAACGAGCAGTGGTAACATTCGTCGTCACCCTCCTGAGGTTTGTGTTCTGATGCTTTTCCTGTGGATAATGAGGAGCATGGATCAGCTGGGGAGGGGTTGGGGGGGTGAGTCTGTGGAGCGGATTGTATAGGGTTTCGTCGAAGACGCTTTCAATCGCCCTTCCGAGCTCATCGGGAGTCCTATGGACATACTTCCCCGTTCAAGACATCCATCATTATCTACGAACTCCTGCCTAAGCCATATCCACTTCTGAAGCCGGCCCCAAAGCGACAGAAACCTAAGGAGACCTCGCCCCATTCCGTCAACACCCGGCTTAGGCGTTAAGGATTCTTGGTTTAGGCTACATTGCGACAAGAAAGCCCACGCAGATGAACCCTCTTCTTAGAGAGATGTGGCCCTGCGCGCGACTCGCGGGGCCCCTGCGCACCTCCTTCCTGCGGAGCTTTGCTGCGGCGTCGCCCCTGCGCCGTGGACAAAGCTCGGCACCCTGGCTCGGTAGTAATTTGTCTTTCAAGACCCTCGGCCCTAAGCCCTCAAATGTGTAAAACCTTAAACCCGAAACCTCCAAATGCTTCAAATGGCCCAAGGTTCAGTTCCACATAGATAGGATACATGGTAAATTGGTAGAGGCCTCTACTCTTGGGCGTCATTAGGTCAAGACGAGGAGCCAAGAGGGCGCTTGTGGGATCCGTTTTGAGGTTTTTGGTTTAGGTTTGGGCGCAACAACCCTGGTAGGTGTAGCTAGCCTAACAGGCTGTACGGGCAGACATATTGACGACATAACAGAAGAAGTGCTTAGATTGGAGCCCGAGTCTTTCTGAAGACATACCTACGTTGCCACTCCTCAACCTCAGCTGCCAGAGTAAGGGCGAGTAATATAGCATTGCATATGTTCGTCTCATTCCTTAGCATGTAAATTAACGGGCGTCCCACTCCCCGGCCCATTCTTCGCATTGCTGCTGCTTTTTTCTGGTAGTGATGACTCACTTAAGCCTACATGTATAAAGCCTAGACTGGTCTAGACTAGACCATATAAACCTTAAATCCTAAACC